GGGATATTTTTGTCTTTTGCAGAATAAGAAATGGAAATAGAAGTATTTGTTGAAAACTTCTTCAAAACAATATAAAATAATAAGAAAAAAAAAACGAAATATCATTAACACCGTATCCCAATTATCACTTTAGTTTGTACGTAGGTCTAGTTGACCTTTGTACGAATCTCTCGTTTCACTCATCCCTCTACACGTACGACAAGTGTATTGGTGTCAACAAACTTTTCTAATGCTTTATTCGGGTTTGCCTTTGTTATTGCGTTCGTAATATTATCAAGTCCATTGATTCATCTTACTTTTGTCAACTCTCTTCGTTCATATAATTAACAAAGTGCCATGATGTTGATTATTAGCCTTTTCTCTTTCGTAGTATCTAATTTAACAAGGCATTCATATAAAGAATACGAATCTGTATATATAATAACTGAAATATCGGGGATATCAAATTGTGAGGTGATAATTTGTAAAATAGACTATATTACAAGATTAATATCTACTCCTACTACCATTCCATATATTTCAAATACTAATACACTACATATAACTTTTTTGCTTTTTGTACTATTATAATAAATGATATTGCCTCTTAGCTCAAAGGTATTTTCGTTTGATATATCCTCATTAGCAAATATAATAATAAATCCTATTTGACTGCTTAAATCCTTGTTATTAGTAAAAAATCCGTTAACGAAAATGAATAGCTTTATATGATCTTTTTTAAAAAGAATAAAGCGAAATTCTCGATTTAGGTTTAATATTTGCCAATCTAGTTTTTTATTGAGCAATTTGATATTTTCGTCCAATGGATCCTGATGCTATACAGCGGTTAATAGGTTGTACGATACTTTCGGTTAACAAATTGTAGTAATATATACTCTTCGAGCTCTTTGTTTGCGATATTACTCTGAATTATTAACTTTTCCGATTTTCTTTCCTTAACCTTTTTGTGTAAGCATAAGGCCTTTGTTCGTACATCGTATAATGCATCCATTGAAGATCAGCAAGGTATCGTCTATAAGGCACTCTCCTGGTTTAACTTTGATATCTGCATATATCAATTCTTTATTTTCTAGATCCAGGAATTGCTGATTTGTAAGAATGAGAGTATTGTCCATCTGCATTCCTACAATTCCAAATCGTACATTCTTTGAATTCGAGATTAGTAAGCAGGGGTCATATGATGATGTGATTATATTCAGTTTCTCTTGATAGTGTTTCCAGTACATTGCCCACCAATGTGTTCCTGCTTTTGCAATGCTATACAATGGTTTCTTAACTATCATAATCATACCTTTTACATACTTTTCTTGAAGCTCTTTTAATAAGTTTGCTAGTATAATTCGATTTAGGAATATTTTTGATTGTATATATACTTGTGTGACATCTTGTATTATGAGCTTGATACCCATTGATTTTAATATTGGAGCTAAAGCTATAATAATTCTTTGGCTTAATCTTTGAATTGTGGGTGCTTATATCAAAATTGTTTCTTTTCCGGAATTGTTATATACTTGAATAACTAGACATGACTTTTCGTACAGGGAATTTGTTGTATGTCCTTTAACTTCGTTTATAAAACATAAATTGAAGAGTCTTCTAGTGTATACAAAGAGATTGTATTTAACAAATTCGAAGATATTTCTTATAATCAGACTATCAATTTCTTATGTTTATAAAGTTTTAAATGGTTGATCTTCTATTTTGATAATACTTTTTGTACGAAGATCAATTGCAAGATCTAATGCCTCTTACTCTTTCTTTATAATAAAAACTTTTGATAAATTTCGATTATTTTATATTACAGCAATAAGTTAATTGTATTCATTATTTATCTCTTGGACATCCTGAGGGGGTAATATTCTTGGGATTTCGATTTGAAATAATGTACAAAATGTAAATATAACTGTTTTCTTTTTTTCTATACTAGCTCATATACATTTTTTCTCGAATTCCTTATTCTCCTATTATTAACTTGGTGGGGATGAAGAGTTCACTGGGAGTGAATTCGATGATGATATTTCTATCAAAGATGGTTTTTTGTATGTATCCTCATAAAATGGTTTTACTACTGTTGTACGAAATTCTGTAGGGCCATGGGGGAGATCGACTGTACAATTTTGATTTGTAATTACAATCAATCTGTAGGATCCTATTCAGTCTTTCTTTTCTCTCCATACTTGTACTAACGAATTTAAAGGTAGGTTTAGAGTTTCATATGTGCTTGGGCCATTTCTAGTAGTAAGTGAATCTTGTATTGCACATTTTGCATAAATCTTTCAAATCTTTTTCATTGCATATCAATATGTTTTTGCTCATTTCAAAATTGATTGGGATAATGGGTTGTATAAGGTTATACAAGGATATGCTCTATATACAAGAAGGATTGGGATGAGATCATTTGGTTCTGTAGTATTATTTACTACTTTGACTGCCATTTGCAGAATTACTTCTTTTTCAAGGTTTTCATCTTTCAATTTTTTTTTGAATATTTTGTACACACGTCGTATAAGTGTATGAAATCTCTCGACTTTACCAATTGCATTATAAGCCTCTACAGGGACTTCACGAATATCAATTTGTAATACTTTTGCATTTTACTGAAATTCAATTGATGCAAAGTTTGTACCAGCATTGTGTGATATATGATCTAATGGATCAAAATATATATCAATCCAACATTTTCGAATTATATTCCAAATTGTCTTTGTGCTCATGTCACATACAAATACTGCAGCGTTATATGCAGTAGCTTTATTAATGATATGGAGAACTGGTTTTCCTTTAATATAAAATACATCCAGAATGATTGAATAATTGAATTCGATGTTGTCTTTGATTGTGAATTTGAATCGTCCAGGGGATTTTGTATGAAGTTAGCAATGTTTATATATTTTGTTGAGTTTCTCAATCGTTTGAGAGTTAATATCTGTATATCCTGTATGATTGAGTATATTAACAAGTTTTCGTACAAAGAAGTGTCCGAATTTTCGATATATTTGTCGAAATTCAATTTCTATTAAATAATTGTATGTAATAATTTCTTCTATTTAATCGAATAGTATAAAAGAGTGTCCCCATTTACGTACAATAGGAATTATCTTATTACCTTATTTTAGCACATTTACTAGATTATCAAGAATAACCTGTAGACGATTTATATCCTGCAAATACATGAGAAATGGAGTATTCATTGGTACAATGAAAAAGGTAATATTTCCAAATAGTGTTTGGATAGTAATATCACCTTATAATCGTACTGAGCCTTTTCCGAATTTGATATTATGTTTAGCCCCTTTTGTACATATAATGTCTTTCTCCCTTTCTAATACTTGGACTTGAAATTCTTCTGTTGTTAATATTTCTGATACTTCTGTATCTGAAATGATTTTTTGAAATATATTTGCTGAATATTGATCTTAAAATTGAAATATTTCGCTTGTATTATTAATCTTTTTGTATAATTAATTAAATTGATTGCTTTGTAGGTATATATGCATTAAGAATTGTCTTTCGAGAAGCTCTACTATGTACATACCATTAATACATCCTATTTTAGTAAAGTATGTTTTGAATTGAATTAATTAATTATTTGAAGATTTAGTTTATGGGTATTCAGAATTTTCATTCTTATCTAATATTTTATTCTTTTTGTATTCAAGATTTGGTTCACTCTTATATCTCAGGAGATATTATTTGAATATTTCTTTATTTATTTTTTGCTTTATTATATATTAACTGAATTTCGACTTTTATTCCTCGTTCATATGATTTATTAATTAATATTCTGATTACTTGTATACAAAGCATTTTTATATCAATATACATGGTATTATTTGGGAGTATTAGGGTTTTTTTATTGAATTTGCTAATAAATAATTATGAGAGGGGGTGAATCTTCCCTTTAATTGATCTCGATATTGTTCTTGAGTTTGATATAAGCCTCAGCCTTCATATATATAATCCATCCAGTATATTTCTGTATCGGGCAGGTTATTAGTTATTGAATCTACTATATAAGTATTTGTTGTTCGTATTCGCTTAGTTTAACCAATAGCATTTCGAAGATTAGCACAAAGGTCTTTGTATGACGCAGTGGGGTGTAGTAACACAATATTGCATTCGGGGATATTGCGACAAGCATTTATTGTTTGATCTCTTAGCATCAATTTCAATTGATATAAATCTACCAATTTATGTTATAGTATACAAAGAGTATCGAAAAGCTTTTCCAATTATTCCGAAAGTGTCTTATCAGAGTATTTTCGTATAATCTATAGAAATGTTGTATTACACCATTCAATAAAATATTTCTAATATCTTTTTTCTGTTTCGAAATACATTTTCATAAGTATAATTATTTCTTTGAATTTTAGATTTCTATTACTGATTTTGTTGAAATAGAATAATAATACAAAGCCTTGAAGTATTATTGAAAAAGCTGATTCATATTCGTTTTAATCAATTCCGATTTTTCTATAAAGTTCATAAAATATTTGAAGCTTTTTCTCTAAGAAGTTGTACTCTCCACCACTATATTTGAATTCGCTATTATTATACACTTTCATCAAATCTGGGAGAAGATTTCGTCCGTATTCTGTATTAGATGTATTTTGTCTTATTGAACGATTTGATAATATAAAATCAAAAGGAGGTTAGCTTTGAATTCTTTGTTGTTATTCATTTTATTTAATTGTATTAAAAGAATCTAATATATGTAATACTTGGATTTGGGTCGATTTCTTTGGTACAATAATTTCGTATATATCCGCATATTCTTTACTAAGTTCTTGAGCTTCTTTTTCAATATTTTTTGTATATTCAGGGAATATTTCCTTTGGAATGATTTTAGAAAGGACTTTTGCATAATTCAGACTTCCTTTAGTTTATCAAACTTGAAATCTGTGGACAACAAATTGAATTTGGATAAGTTTGAAGGCTTTGTGATATGCGATTTTGAATATAGCCTTAGTCTATCCTTTGTATCATTCCTGAAATTCGTTTTATAATCTTTGTCCTTTATATTGTCTAAATTGCGAGTTAACAAGCCACATAGTTATATCAGTATTTACTTGAGATTCGGTAAGTTCTGTACTTAAATTCAATTGTTTCCCCCAGAATGTAGAATCCACTTCATACGGAAGTGATTCAGATATTGGAAAAACCATATTGAATAATAATGTTCGATGTCGTATTGTATCGAGCGTATTTGTCGTATAGCATGTACGAGGGCGTGATGGACGCAGATAGAATCGATATAAATCAAACTATCCTGAAGAAAACACAACTGTAGTCAGGGATCTCTTCTTAGCACATAATTCGAAAAGATAGTATGGGGAACGTAGTATTCTAGTTCTTCCACACAAATCGTATGTAAACTAAGTCTAATACGATTTTGTTCGTCTTCTCAGAAAGATATCTCTTCTCATTAGGTTCGACCTTGCCGTTCTGTGATTGAGTCTAATCAATCACTGATCAGTGTTGGATGGACTTTATAAGGTGTATATACATAATATGTAAGGGGATTAAATGGTATTGTTATTCTTGCTTACCCCCTTCGTACGAAGGGGGTAGATAGCTATATATATCTAGATATGGTTTTATCCCACTTACGCTTGAAAGGTGGAGGTGGGGTAAACACGTGGTTTGTCACGTGGTTTGCTCACGTGTTCCGACAATTATCACTACTGTTACACAAAAATAAAATATTTAATAATTTTATTATAATCTTTTTGTTTGATTTAATATTAAAAACCTAAAAAAGATTAGTAAGATCTTAGGAGTGCGTATTATTTGTAATAAATCAGAAAGAATATTAACTATAGATCAAAAAAAATATCTGGATACAATACTTATCCGATTCAGAATCTCTCATGGTTAATATACTCCAAGAAAGATATTAATCTCGGATTACAACCAACTACAACCAACACTCCCAAACAACAAACTTATTAATATAAATGAATATTAGTAAGTAATTGGTAGTACAATTTATTTTATGGTTTACACTAGATTGGACATTACATTTAATCTCAGGAGATTAGTATAAGCTATGTTTAACCCTGTCAAACACTATAGCATTACACTCAAAAATCTTATAAGATATTTAAGATCAATTATTAAATAAAAACTACATTTTGGGCCTGGGGGAGTTCAATCAAATATTTACAAAGAATATAACCTCCTATAACACACCATCAAAATATATACCAATGCAGATTGGGCAAGCAATAAAACCAATCAAAAAAGTATCTCTAATAAAATAATAATATTTTATAGTGGATTAATTTTATGGGTAAACAAAAAGTAGATATTTATAGTTACATCTAATACAAAAACTAAATACATTTTTATAACAATATTCACCAAACAAAAACAATAGATAGCCCAACTCTTAAAAAACTTAAAACAACCACAATACATCAAAAGCAACAATAAAATTCAAATACTCAAAAACAACCAAAAAACACTAACATTAACCAAAAACCCACATTTACACAAGCAATCAAAGTATATTAACATCTATCATCACTTCATTCAAAATTTTATAAAAAAATATTTAGTTAATATCAGTTATATCAATATAAGCAATATAACTGCAAATAGATTAATAAAACCATACACAAAAATAATATTTGAAAGATTTAAAAATATGCTGGGGTTTTAAAAAAAATAAACTCTTTAAAAAAGTATTAGAAATTATAATATATACTCCAAAATCGATTAAATTGATTAAATTGATTAAATCAATTAAATTAACCAAATTAACCAAATTAATTGATTAAATTAATTAAATTGATTAAATTGATTAAAATTATTAAATCCATCTATTTCACCTATTTCATCAGATTCATTAAATTTATCTTACATCGAATTTATCAAAAATTAATGATTTCAAGAAAATCACATGAAATAATAAATAAGCTTAAAGTCTATTCACATACAATCAGATTTTAATAATTTCCCATATTAAAATAATAACCCTACAATCAAGAAATAACAAATTTCGAAGTAATCAGTTATTGGGTATATAAAAAGAATTTTAAAGAAATTAATTATTGAAATTGAAAAAATAAGCTTTTTGGGGGAATGTTGGAAGTTATGGTATGTGCTTTAAGTTATTGTATATATATTATTTCTATTTTATAATTAGATTTTATTTTAGTATGATTAATTTATATAGTCAATAATACATGTATTCCATTGGTCTGCTCCTTTATTTTCAACATAGTTCTTATATAAAATAAGATCTATAGGAAATTATTATTATTGTATTGATTTTCCTTTATATATAATGAATAGATTAAATACTTTTTTAATAGCTGAAATATATTCAATAAAAGATATCCAAACTTTTGAATTAGATTGTTTTTTCTAAATAAATTTTCAATTAGTATTTTTTATTATTAATTTATTAAATCCCTAATCCTTTATAATCCCTGCGTTATTTATATTCTATTTATTTTCTAATTTAATAACCTTGATTTCAGAAATTAAGAAATATTAGAACTACTTTTTAATAATATCAGATATAATATTAAAGATTTATACAAAATCGATATAATATAACCTTTTAGTTTTAATAAAAGAATTCCATTTAAAAAAACTTTTTATTTATCTTTTTCTAATTAGTGAATCCTTTTTTTGTATAATAAAAAGGTGATTTGCTATATTTCTTATTTATTAATATATTATATTAATATTAAGAGATTTTTATATTAATATTCAGTTTATTAATAATTTCTTTTAAATTAAAACTATCTTTTATTAACTTTGGGTACTTTCTTGATGTGATATATTACTATATATATAATTATAAAATATATTATGTAATATATTATAATTCAAGCTAGTCTTTTTAATACTAGTTCTATTTATTATTACTTTAAGTGTTTCCTGAAAATCATTTTCGAGATAATTATTCTTTATTATATAAATATAGTAATTTCAAAATTTCGAATTAATTGATTAAAGAATTATAGAATTATTGAAGCTTTAAATATAATAATGATTTAAAGTGGGGTGATTTTTGATGTGTTCGAAATGTGGGGGTGTCCGATATATAGGGGTGCAGACTTAATCTCTCTAGTAGTGTTCAGTTTAATTTCCGCATCTGTGTCAACGACATCGCCTGCCTAGAGAGAACTAGGACAATGTGGGTAAGCACCGACTTGATTGTTTCTCCACGATGGTGTGTACTATGGGATATGCAAGTACACCTAAATATAACCCAAATCAGTAGGACTCTTGTGATATAGTTATATCTATTTAATGTACATTAGTCCAAGATGAATATTCGGTGATTGTTGAACTTTCCATAGAAGTCAAACACTAAATTCTCGATATCTTGACAATGAAAGAAGTTATTGCTATAAAAATACGCGGAAATGACTCAAACGAGCTTTTAGATCACCGAAGAACTTCAAAGTACGGAATTCAAGTCTTCCCGCGTTCAGCGCCCTTCGAGTAAAGTTTGGTGCATTGAAAGTTCTAGCGCCCCTCCAATTATTATGGGACGGCGAAGATAGTTACAGCTCTTCATAATACTTCAATTTGTTTCCTTTGACTATTATATCTCCATCGTGAGTTAAATTGTCAATCGCAACCCCCTCTGATGACTGTCGTCGCTGAATCATGTAGTGCTGAGGAAATATTAGCACCGACCCTTTCATTTCTCAACGACGATCAATTTTCTATGCCTAAAATGAAGTCTGTATATTCATTAAAGCTACTAAGTCTCTGGGGTTAAGTTTATCTGCAGTCAAAATCAATTCCGAGGCCAATATCCTTGGTTGTGGGAAGTTAAGTAAAGGACTTGTTAGGTGAACACCCCCTGGGCAAGAAGTCCATGAGAAAAAATCTCTTACTGTAAAATGTAGCCATAATCTGTATCAATCTCATAAATTTTGTCGTTTTTATATTTGATCCAGTTCTCACACTGCATTACTTTTTTTCGATCATTATCTGCGAACTTTGTTCCTCTGGGATGAGCATGACCAGAGGTAGCTATTGCATGATAGTTAAGAGATTTGATTTGAACATTAACTGGTACTTCAATTGAAACAGTTTTTTGATTTAGCGGCTTTGACTTATGTGAGTAGTCTGTCTGGGCGATTCCGTAGCCTGGCAAATCGTCACTTCTAATGAAACCATCTCTATCCTTATTCTGATGATTTGAACACCAGTTCCACAATTTTAAAGAGTTCAATGAACTCAGAACTTTTTTTGAGAATTTCACAAACACTCTAGAACTTGAGATATGAAAAACGACTGGTAGCCGTGATGGAGCTACGCAAGTATTCTTATGAGGCCTCTTAAAGATTGAAAGATAGGATTGTTGGTTTGAGAAGGATACAGATGACGTAGCACCCACGATGATAGGTCCTAAATGTCAATGTTGTATTTTGTCTCAAGAGCTAGGTAGCAACCAGAAGAAGCAACCTTTATATGCATTGAGGCTAGCCCTCTCGCTTAGTGTACCACAGTAGCCTAATGACTTAAGGTCATTCACCCATGTTCATACAAGAATATTTATAAGAATATCTCCCTACGTGCCACTCGTTGTGATCATGCATCTTTGATCTTGCAACGAGCTATGATCGTTTGATCTAGTGACTTCAATATGTTCCGACCCTTTTCATCTAAATCAAGCGCTCCACATGCTGTCTGCAATGGAAAACATGTAGAGGAAACTCCATAAAGCATGAAATCATCTTGTAGAATGTATTCCATGCTCTGGTAAATTTGAACGCTCAACTCGAGACAAATCTCTCGAAGTCCCCTGGCATCATATATCGCTTTGTGAACTAGCCGCTCCAATTCCGGATACTTCTCCAAAAGAACATGAATATCTATTAAGCATATAAGCTGAAAGGCCCAAAAGTAGATAAAGACATTGGCAGTGCTCAAATCCTGAAACCACCATAGATTGAGGTTACTTTTACATTCTATTTCAATGTTCCGTCGCCAATAGAGTGGTCTTGATGAAGTTTTTAGATATGAACAATGCCAGGCTTCAAGAAGAGCTTTGCTATTTGCCAGCTCTTTAATTCGATCCTGTACAATTTCTATAGTAGCGGTACAAGGATTGTGTATTGACACATCGACTCTTTCTAAAGTCCCTGGAATACACGAAGCCACACCTAGAAGGCTTTGTAATGGTGAAGAACGATGATTTTGGAAGGGGGTATGGACCCAAGAGTCCTCTGCCAAAAAAGTCGCCTTACGAAGAATGAAAGCTTGGAGTATCTGGAGCGTAGATCATTCAGTCAGAGAAACATAGTACCATACTGTGCGAACTTACTAATAGGGGTCTAAAGCCTATAAAAAGAGTGTGTTCAACACCAGACGCAAAAAGTTCGGGAGGTGAGAGTTGAAACATTCTACTAACTCCTTCCACATGTATCAGCCAACTGGATGGACGTATTGGTGAGAGTACCTATTTGCAATTCTCAAAACGTCAGCACCTCTTTTAATATTCGTCTACGCCTGCTTGGTAAAAAAGTCTTTAGATTATAAATTCGCGAGCTTATGAGACGTACCTCTACGAGAGCTAGACACATAACCGTTGCTACGAGCTCGTTACGATAAAAACTTTTGCATACTGCCAGATTCTGCGCCAAAAGATGGAGACTTTTTTCATACTGAACAGAAATGGAGTCAACCATATTTATGCTACGTCGATAAGCAGTAATAGACAGAGCTAGAGCACTTGACGCTGATTGAAGACATTCAGCAAGGGGACCAATTGTATCGATAGTCAGCTCAGGTAAGGCTGTGACCCATGAGCCACATACCCGAGGAGATTGTACAAGTGATGTGGGAGTCTCAAAACCAGTTTCATCCAAAGGAACGAAATTATGTAAAATTACCAAGATGATATCTTGTGTGGTATCAAGGCCCGTTAAACATAGATGGGACATCGATGATGAACCCCTGTACAATCCAGTCATCTCGTGGGAGATATTCGGTGCGTCCTTACAGTTTGGAACACTTAGGGCTGGGTCACTAAGAATCGATCCGGATGCTGGTCCCGACTCTGATGCCAGGGGTTTATATGAATTTTCTGCCTCTCTTCCAGATTTAGTCGCTATAAACGGTACGAACAGGGCCTCAGGATACCCTTCACATTTTCGCTTGCTATGCAGACATTGCGAACATGCTGGAAGCTTGCCATCACACTGTAAGACGCGTAAAATGGTAAGATAGTGTCTTGATCAACTAAACCAAATTAGACTACCCAGGGGGTGTGGGCTGACCTGAAGTTTTCGCTTTCGACAAGTGTGGCACAGATTCTTCTTCCGGACCTTCATAGCTGACGCAATTACAATTTAAAGCATCAGAATTGATAGCTCAATAACTCAATAAAAAGGAGTTGAAAGTTTTTGATGACAAAAATGACAGATTGAAAGAATAATGCATTACTAAAAGTTGAATTTCCAGGAGTCGTGCGTTTTAGTGGCGGCCAGTATCAAAGCCCGGCATCACATGACAGTGAGTTCTCTCCAATCGGCACATTTATGGTGGGTCGGCTTTTGAAACCATTTTGGGCTTAGTGGTAGTTGCTCTAGTCAGGGATGTACAAGGGGGCTCACAAGACCTCTTTATGCTGTTTAATCTAGAGTGATGGCATATATCCAATCTTGCGAGAAATTTTTCCTGGCTGATCAAGCAACTACGAAGTATTACTCAGTAGAATCAGATGGAATTACCAATCTTGGCCTCTACAAGCCTTCAATTGATGATGAACTTTTATATAAATACCGTCGCTGCGGATTGTCGAATCTGTGTATACTAAGAAACTCTCACATCACTTGCTTCTCACCAATCTTTTCACAATCCTCTATTATCTAAACTTTTGAACTTTGGCTCTTCAGTAACTTCTATAGTCATGCCTGCTTCTACATTCAAGAACAATGTCAGCATCACTCACATTGGAACTGCCACCGCTGTTCTCAATATTGATGGCATTAGCTTCCTCACCGATCCATTTTTCTCTCCGGCTGGCTCTGAATGGGATTCTGTACCTGGTGCACCCAAAATCAAGGTCCATAAGGACCCCGCTCTGAAGATGGATCAACTTCCTCCAATTGACGCAGTTCTACTCAGTCATGAAAACCACCCTGACAACCTCGACGAACTTGGACGTCAACTTCTAGATGGCCGTCACGTTTGTACAACGAAAGATGGTGCAAAGAATCTCGCGCCTCGTCCTGGTGTTCTTGGATTCGACGATTGGGAGGAGAAGGATGTAGTCATTGCTGGAACCACTTTCCATATTACAGCTACTCCTTGCAAGCACTGGCCTGGCCATGAGTGCGTCGGATTCGTTGTACACACCGAAAGCTTTGGCGTTGCTTTTGACGGTCGACTTAATGCAATTTATTTCTCCGGAGACACCGTCTACATTGAGGAACTTGCCAAGATAGCTGATAAATATCATATCGCTATCGCTCTCTTGAACTGCGGTCAAGCAACCATCGAGAACTTTGACGCGGAGGGCCAACCAAGCCAGACTGGTGAATCTCTTCAGATTACCATGGGTGGTCACCAAGCTGCTCACCTCTTTCGGGATATCAAAGCAGATGTTTTGGTGCCTATGCACTACGAGTCATGGGATCATTTCAAGCAACAAGAGGATGGGCTTTCAGCAGAGTTCGGTGAGGAGGGGATTTTGTCGCGAGTTCGTTGGCTTCAGCCCGGAAAAGCAGTGCCAATTGCCTCTGGTATATAAACGGAGGAACATTTGCCTAACCAAAGACTCTAGAGTTGAACGGCGTATGGACAATTAAAAATCAAAAGTTTTGTCAAGAAAAGATATATCTTTACTGCTAACCTCATACTACTACGAGTAGCAATCTTGGTGATTGTGCTATAATGATACGAGTCTTATGAAACCTATGAATGAGCTCAGTGACAGTAACTGCCAATGTATTTTTTCAAAATTCCTTCAGCTGCGACACGTGAAAGACTTCTTAGCTAATAGTAAAGTCTTATTCAAGGTAAGAACGCCTCCCTGTTAGTAAACTTCGTATAGCCAAGGAATACAAGCAGATTTTGAGTCCTAGCATTTCCAAGATGATGCATTGACGTTGTCAGGGACGACTTGTCACTGAGATTTTAATTAAAAATTTGTTTACAATGGCCACGAAAGCGTCGAGAATGTATAAGCTTATTTACTCCGCTTCTATGAGGAGTTCGGTTGATCAACAGATCAATCAACCGCCGAAAGTCCGGCAGTATGTGGGTCGTGAATTACACACTAGACTAACAATATCATTTGTTGGATGATTCGGCTTTTGCCACCGAAACGGGTTAAACGCCAAATCGTTGTGATTCAAAAACTTCATTCACGAGATGATTGCAATTTTCTCTAATGTTTGATTTCAAATCCATACGTACGTAGTATATATACCGTCGCTTTTCGCAGTGTTTTGAATAGTAAAAAAAAGTTGCTAAACCAGACAAATCCGTTGTAAAGTCGAAGAATCACGCCGATCGCCCCTCGTTTATATGTAAAGAAACAAGATAGTGTCAACAACGATAAAAACGATCAGAAGTACAGGCTATCTGCATTGATCGAGCTATCATGCCCGAAAACAAGGACTTAGAATCAACAAATGCCTCAACACTAGCTTTGGATAGCAACGTGGCAATGAAGACTGATGAAGCCACTGACGTACGAAAAGAAGCGGGTTTAGCAACTTGGTTAACAGGTTAGATAAACATCTCGTGGATAAATTTGATTGGATACTATTCTAATGCCTTTCTAGTTGTGGCTCTATTCATCGCTGTCATGAATACATGGTGGGTATCTCTCTCTATGCAACCACTTAAATGCTAATTAGTGTGTGATAAGGGGTATGATTATCTCATTTGGTGTTTTTCAAACCTACTATGTGTCGACATTAAATCAATCACTCTCGGATATCGCATGGATTGGTTCGATAGCTGTGTTCTTCCTCTTCTTCATGGGCATCATTAGCGGCCGTCTCACAGATGCAGGATATCACCGCATCACAACACTCATTGGTACGATTCTGGTTGTGTTGGGAACTTTCACGACCTCTATATCCAAGACATATTGGCAAATCTTTCTAGCCCAGGGAGTTTGTACTGGACTAGGTAACGGGTTTCTCCTCACACCTATGTCAACCATTGTCGCCAGTCATTTTAGGAAAAAACTTCCGCTAGTTATGGGAATAGCGTCCTGTGGGAGCGTAACTGGAGGTCTAATTTACCCTAGTATGGTGCGAACACTCCTGCCAACAATAGGATTTGGATGGACTTTGAGAGCCATTGGTTTCATACAAGCAGGGACTTTGGCAATTGCACTGGTTTCTGCAAAACCCAAATCAATCTCCAAGAACACAGGTCCAATCATCGATTTGATGGTCTTCAAAGAACCCGCGTTTACTTTACTTCTCGTTGGGTCATTTTTTGTCAGTATAAACTTTTCCTTGCTTCATCTATATGAACAATACACTTACGAATCTATAGGCTTTCCTAGGTGTCTTTTTCCCATTCTTCTTCTTGAGTTCTTATGCGCGGGAGAAACAAGGAATGTCATATGAAGACTCTCTCAATCTTACGCTCATTTTGAACGGCATAGGATTTGCGGGTCGCTTGCTACCCAGTGTACTTGCCAGGTTCTTCGGAACTTTGAATGTATTCATTGGAATGGTATTTTTTTCTGCGGTTTGTATGTTTACTTGGATACCGGTTCATTCGACAACAGGGTTGTACGTATGGACTGCTTTCAATAGTATGGCTGTAGGAGGAGTTCAATCACTTTCATTAGCTGTAGTACCTGTTATCACTACAGACATGTCAAAGATTGGAGCGCGATTAGGAATCGTCTTCACAGCTATTGGAATTGGAGCGTTAATTGGTTCTCCAATCTGTGGTGTTATTATTGCTTCAAATGACGGATCGTATACTGGAGCACAAGCTTTTTCTGGAGGTGTATTGGTTTTAGGAGGCTCAATCATGATCGGAGCACGAGAGGCCCAAAGACAAGAAATTCATAATGACGTCTGGGCAAGGATATAATAACATTCTAGGAGGTTCTATATACTTAGAATAGTATAGGCAAAGACATAGAAGAAAATGTGGATTAAAATATTAGTAAATCAATAGAGTGATATACTCAGCTAGATCGGTCTAGAATCTTCTTTCATTTTATAACAAGAATAAACTAATCAAATCAAATAACTCAAACCAACCAAAGCAAACTCAAACAAACCCAAAGCAAACCCAAACAAACCCAAACAAACCCAAACAAACCCAAACAAACCCAAATAAACCCAAACAAACCCAAACAAACCCAAACAAACCCAAAATAACAATAATAAAAACACAGTTACTATTATATAGTTGATTGTAGTATCTTATTAAGCTGCGGAAGAACTCGCTCTCAATCTCGTGAAATTATCTTTGGCTTGTCTTGCATGCGTAATAGCATTTCTAGCACTATTGGCCACATTTTGTGCTTCTATAAGATGTCTCTCATATCCCTGTATGCCTTCATATGCTTGTCGATAGTTGGCCATGAATTGAACCCGTCCTTCCATTTCTCTAAGTAAAAAGACTCATTAGCTTATTATATTCATATTTCACTATCAGTCTTAACTACATTTAGTACTCTATACTGTAGTTCGATCTGAGATATTTAAGATGTTGGATTTGGATAACATACGATAATGCCTTCTCGGCCCATTTGATAGCACGCTTTTGGAGCTCTCTATCATTTTCTTCGGTAGGATTGTTCCGACATTTATCTTTATACCATCTATCAAAGTCTCTTTTGCCTTGAATACGTTCAGCACCAAGTTGGTGATAAGTGTCATACTCGCGTCTCATTGTAGAGGACCATTTTTTCTTATCTGTATTTGTAAAGATATAGTTCTCTCTCTTATTGATTGTTTCGTTCTCCACAAGAACTTGTAAGGACTCTACTGAGAGATTAAGATCCTCACTGATGGTATTGGTCAATCCTGTGAGTTCGGATACACCAGACTGGCGTGTTTTCTGCGAATCTGTTGTATCTGCTGATTTACCAGATGTCTTTGACTTGCTAGATGTCTTTGATTTGTCGGAATCGGAACCGCGTCCTTCTGAAGGGGACTTTTTGGGTTTACATGTACATGTCGAAGGCCTGTGTTTACATGTCTTGCAACATCTGCAAGTGCTGTGATCACACTTTGGGCATTTCGATGGCATATTGACGAAGATTGAGGTAAGAAATGATAAAGTCTAGAAGGAGCAAGCGAGAGAAGGAGTACTTGGAAGAATATAACTAGAATTCTGAATGATATGGAAGTAATGGTGATTGAAGTTGTTGAGTCTGAAGATGAAATGAAATTCTGTTGATCTATTTGGTTTTTGATGGACTTTTTAAAGTAGTGCTTCAAGTATGAATACCAACAAAACACGACAGATTTGAAAATGCTATTAATAATTTGTCAATCATCATGAATCTTTAAGATGGCCATTCAAACCGCATGTAAGGTGATAGTTTGATGTCAATATAAACCTTTTTGGTGACCTTCAAAGTATTAAACGATGTCAAGCGCTTCTGTACGTAGAAGTTGTGTGACCACATGTATAGCGATAATTTGATGTCAACATAAACCTTTTTAGTGACCTTCAAAGTATTAAAAGATGTTAAGCGCTTCTGTACGTAGAAGTTGTATAATTACATGTGTAGTAATAGTTTAATCACCAACCTGATAGAAAGACATGTATACAACAAATGCCCCTTATTAGTATTTATAAGAATTTTAATATGCTTACTATCAGTAATAATCACTTTAATTAGAGAGGTAGTAATCATATAAATCATACTATCTTACTACTGTTCTCGAAAGTAGTAAGACAAACGAATTCCGAAGAAAACAATTTGATAAAAATTTTTGAATTAAGTAATCCGTTTTGAAAATTCCTATAAGGAATTGAAAGATTATGTCTATCAGGACAGAGAAAAAGAATTCTATTAATAGGACCTACTATTCACACAGGGGCCCTTTATTAGTGGGAAACATAGTACTTTAACTGAGATTACTCTATATAAACCCTACTTTTCCGGTTATAAAGATCAGTGAGAAGTATTACGGAGGTACTCGCACCGTAATATGGATTATAAGATAAACCTAAGATGGTACGCTAAGACTAGCGCACCTGCGTACATAGATACATATATAGCCTCTCCGTAGTATAAATGAGAACTTCGTCCTTCTTTACACTATTCTCATACCATAAGACCTTGATATTAAAACCTTTGAAAATAGTACTATAGGAATAATAGAATTAAAAGATAATTCAAGATAATAATAACAGTAACGAACTAACCCTGACTGCTACAGTTACTATACACTTCTATTAGCCGAAACTCCATAAAACGTGTTTTTTCACATATTACACTTTTATAATTATATTTTATTATTTTAATAATGCTTTCAATTTATATTGTATGATGTGTTGGAGGTACACAAAATGATCCTTATAAATGTTTTATTTTATATATATACAGCAAAATAGTTAGTAAGATAGAGAAAGGTTTTAATCTTTATTAAATTACGAAGAATCTTAGATTCTCTTATAAAATTATATAATATATCTTTTTATAAGATTTAATATATAATAATAATATATATCTATTAACGTGGTTTATTAGTATGTGGTTCATATCAATGAATGGCCCACTTTCACCTCAATTTATACTTTCAAATTCATATTTCTCAATAATTATTGAATCAATTAATTAAAACTATTATAAATCTAATAATCTAGGATTTATTATATCATTTTTATAGATTCTTATATTATAACCTATTTTTCCATATTTGTTATAATATTGATTAAAGAATGCCTCCGTATTGGAATTTCCTTTATTTTGATATTTATTATATCGAATTTAGATATTAATCTTTTATTGAAATAATATATTTATAGTTTTTTATTCAATAAATATTTCTTCTTAATATAATTAGGTTTTTTTTGTGTATCGATATTTGTTTAATATCTCATTTGTTTTTTGAAATATATAAATCTTTGTATTTAAAAGTATATTCTTATATATTAATCTTTCTATACTCTTAGTTAAAGCTAATATAGTTTCAAATAAAGGTATAGAAAAGCTTGATTGATGATGAGTTATTCAAAATTTAATTAGTATTGATTGAAAAAGCGCCTCTATAGGATTATAAAGTATTTGAAAGATTTAAGGTTCTGAATTAAGAGGAGGAAAAATAAATATATAGATTCGAATATTTAATTTAGAAAGTATTATTTCAGGATTGAATGAAATTAATTCTATTCCTCGAAATCCTAATTTTATATTCTAATTCATAATTAATTGTTGATATATAGTTTTAAAAGCTATAAAGAATTCGATCTTTAAGATATAATTGATATGTGTTTTTATAAATCTCTCAATTTGTATGCTATACTCTTGTTTTAAGATACTAAAATATTTAATATTAAGAGGCTGAATTAAATGATTTGAATGTAGTAGTAAATATATATATTTAATATTATTCTTTTTGTAATAGTTCTGGAATAGTATTAATTTATGGCTTTTATGCCTATTCAGTACTAGTATTCTATATTTGCTCTTAATTCGATTTCTTATATATTTATCAAAATATTTCAACTATTCTAATTCTATCTCATTATTCGTTTATTTATTGCTTATAGATTTAATAGCCCAATCTATAGAAAGATTGATTTCTATATATTAATTAGAAAAATGTATTTATCTTTGAACTATCAGAAATAAAAATATAATATTCTTTTTATTATTGTCATATACAATCACTATCGCTTATTCTCAATTATCTAATTATATAGCTTTACTTTTATTATATCTCTTAGTATTAGTAATAATTATATTAATATTTATAATATTTATTATAAAGCCAGTTTCATCAAAATTCCATAAATTGTAATTAAAAATACTATATTTCGCTCGCATATTTAATATAAATCAAAACTAATTTTCAATAAATATAAAATATTTATAGAGAACTTTTTGAAAATTATAAACATATTTAAAACATATCTTTAGTTCTATATAATATTTAATAAATCAATAAGCCTAGAGCTTTTTAATTCTTTTTGTATTTCGAGATTCAAGAATATAATTCGCTATATTTTTTATTCCCTTTTATTTAGATACAAAACCTTTTGAATTTATATCAATTATATATTAAATAATGATTTCCTTTTCTAGTTCCAAGAGATTTTGAGATTTAGATTGAATTTCTGTATAAGGAGGGATACCATCAATTTTATGTTATAGTGTTGATTATAGGATATTATATAGTATTACAACCTTTCGAGTATTTAGCTTCTTATTTTTCTAAATAGTTGTAATAACAAGTAATATACAAGCTTCTTTATTATTCGAATCCATTATAGATTATTGATAAAATACATATTGAAATAAAAAAATTGAATTGAAATGAAAATAGGCCATCCATTGATATAGGCCACGCACTGATAAACCACGTTATATATTAATTGATTTAAATTATATATTAATTGATTTAAATTATATATTAATTGATTTAAATTATATATTAAATAAAATAAATGAATACTATTATAATATATATAATTATTTCTAAAAGCTATATATAAATAGATTATTCAAGAGGTTGGGCTTGATTGTAGTATTAAAACTATTAAGAGGATTTTGATTAAATATAATATAGTTAATTAGAAATATAAGAAAAGATTAAAGCTTATATCAATATATATTACTAAAAGATTTAAATAGTATTTAGCTTATAGAGAATTAATAATTAAAAAATGGAATCTAATTGTATAGTTAGATAAATACTTTATAAAATAGGGAAAAGGAAAAAGATTAAAATAATACTTTTATATTAACTTTCAGAAATAGGACTTAGAAATGGTTGAAATATATGGTATGAATAAGAATATAAAGATTATATATTAGGGAAACTTTTAAAATATTAGGAGGAGTAATTTATATATAATTATCAGAAGTAGACAGCAAGTTACGCATAAGAAGTGATATATTGAATATGTATATGTAATCTATATATCCAGGAAGTTCGAAAAAAGAGTTTTATAGTAATATGTATATATTATATATGTACTATACATATAATTTCTAACATTTTTTTTATAATAGAAATCTATTATTTAAATTATATAAAATCTATATATATATATATATTTATAAAAAGCTTTATTAACTCCTATAACAATATTAATACTTCAATATTATCTGTAGTATCTATATTTTTAATAGAATTCGATAATTCTATAATCTAATATTATATTATAATATAAAAGTACTCTTTTATCTAAATCCTATTTTCCCTACCTATGTCAAATGAAATCCAATCCACTAAAAAATATAGCAGTATAAATTCGATTTGTTTTTATAAAATCCCTTTTATATGTATACTAATGGATTGCTTCAGATTCGTTATTTTCGGATTGTAGGGTTACTTTTTTAGTATGGTAAACAACCCAAATTCAATCTCATATAAACAGATCTCCAGCTTATCTGTTACCCCACATAATTTATTCAAAATAATCAATTTGGTTAATTTAGTTAATTTATAATAAATTAACTAATTCAATTAATTCAAATAGTTTTTGATAAATTCAATAAATTTAGTAAATAAAGTGAATCTAATAAATCTAATAAAATTATTGAAATAAATGAAATTTATTAATTTAATTAATTTAATCAATTTAATCAATTTAATCAATTTAATCAATTTAAATCAATCAAATTAATCAAATCAACCAAAATAATTGATTTAACCAAATACAATATTAATATCTATTAACTCTTTTTGATATATATATATTCAGTATTTTAGATCTAATTTTAAATCTTTTCTATAAGTTATAAAGCCAGAGTATATAAATTGTTTTATAAAAATATTAATAATTTATTTAATTTCTGAAATCTATACAATATATAGCTTTTTGATATTAATTATATCTTTTCGAATATAATATTATCGAATATTGATATACTTTATTTTACTATAAAATTTATTCTTTTACATCCAATCAACTCTATTAATATTATTATAATATAAAGTTAAAATAAAGAATTCTTTTTTAGAGCATTCTTTTAAATCTTTTATTAATTTTTCTATTCAAATTAATTCTTTTGTACCCTCATTTACTATTATAATCTCAGCTTCTATTATACAAAGAAATATCGATTT